TGTGGAGGCCACCACAATAGATCATGGAGAGGGTCTGAGATTTAGGATAATGGGCATGCAGATTGGACAGAGGGTACAAAAACAGAACCAATAAGTGATTAAATGTGGGGCACAAACAAGAGGAAGGAAAGATGACTGTAAAGATTCTAGCCTGAATAACTGAGAAGATAAATAGGAGGCCTTTGGAAATAGAAGTCTGAAGAAGGGGAGATTATACCTGGGGATATATGTTTGGGGATTATTCATATAAAATGCTAGTTAAAGCCTTAAGAGTAGATGAAATTGCCATAGGAGAGAGGGTGTAAGGGGTAGGGGAGAGAGAGTTAAGGACAGTAGGAGGCAGAGGGAGGAAAAGGAGCTATAAAGAAGCAATCTGAAAGTCAAGGAAAGAAGATAGTTTCATTGGAAAAGTATAAGTAGAGGAGAACAGGAATAGTGATCTATAGTGTTGGGCTCCAGAATAATTGGGGAGAATAGTACACAGAAGGCCATTGGATTTAGGAATCAGGAAATTATTGATTTTCAGGGGCGCAGAATCAGTGAATTATGCAGGCTGAAGCCAGATTACAGGGAATTTTACACCAGTTTTGAGGCTATAGGAACAGTAAGCATAGATTACTTTTGTAGTACATCATCTAGAAAATAATTTTGAGGGAGAATGAGTATAGTATAGATATGATGAAATGAGAGGTTAAACTGAATTGCAAATGGAATGGAAGAGAGGACTTGGCATTTTAGAGAGCCTGAGAACATAGAATCTATAGATCCTGGAGACTGACTTGATGTAAGATTGAAAGGAAAAGAATTCCAGTTTCAAGGCTTGGAGACCAAAAGAAGGAATGCCATTTGTAAATATAAAGAAGCCATACATTAGCTCTATCGGTTTGGCTGAGTGAATAGAGCACCAGCCTGCAGACTGAAGGGTCCCGGGTTCGATTCCGATCAAGGGCACATGCCCAGGTTGTGGGCTCGATCCCCAGTGTGGGAAGGCAGCCGATCAATGGTTCTCTCTTATCATTGATGTATCTATCTCTCCCTTTCCCTTCCTCTCTGAAATCAATAAAAATATATTTTTTTTAAAAAAGCCATACATTAGAAGCAGGTTTGGGTTCAAAGATGGCAAGTTTCATTTTATATATATATAGCTAATATGCTAAGTGTCCAACTGTCTGACCGGTCGCTATGACGCGCACTGACCACCAAAGGGCAGACACTCAATGCAGGAGCTGCCGTGATGTGCACTGGCCATTTACAGAGAAATGGCACCGCAGACCTGGTGCCCACAAAACACTTGGCTTCCCCCAAGTGGGACACAGGCCCCACCACCACCCTGGAGTGACAGCCCACCAAATTGCAGCCAACTCTGCCGAGACACCATGGCGCAAAATGTGGCCCACACCCAGCCCAGCTTGAAACGGTCACTGTGGGCTCTGGGTAATGATGTCACATAGCAACGCCCAGCTTCCTCTCCCTAGTGACTAGCCTCCTTGTAGTTTCTTCAGCCCAGGAACACGACTTGCTTTATAGACAGGTGCAAACATTTTACACTAACCAAGTGTCTCCGAAGTGTTTTCCTGTGCCTCATCTCATTTGATCCTCACGGAAGTCCTAGAGTAAGTAGATAGGAGACTCGGTGGAATCCTGTTTTCTTTTCATTAGCCAGAAAACGGAGATTTAGAAAGCTTAGAAACTTGACCCAACTGAAAAGAAGTAAGAAATGGTGGACCTTGAAAATGACTTCAGGTTTTCTCACTGTGCAGAATATAGTCAAACACTGCTACAGTTAAATATTTTACCCTTTGTTCTCCCTGCGTGATCTACAATAATAATCTGCTTTGTGTTAATATTTACTGCTGTGTTGCTGACGATTACCTGAAAGAGAAGTTGGGGTGCTTCACTGGGCTGGAAAAAGTTTAGCTAAATCAGAAAGCAGGTCTAATTAAGCAAGTTTATTCTATATATATAAAAGGCTAAGTTGACTTACACATGCACGATACATATAAAGCTCTCGCTGACACCATTCGTACGCGTGTTTCCATCTGTCATTGTCGATCGTAAATTTGGTTGACACTTCAATTATAGAGAAAGAACGAATAGCGATATTAAAATATTTCTTCTAATTTCCTTTCAATGTGCACAAATTCGTGCCCCAGGCCACTAGTGTATTAATATTTTTAAGAGTTAATAAGTAAAATGCCCTCTTTTTCTCTGTTCCAATAAATCTACCTCCTAGGGCAGTGGTTTTCAACCTTCCTAATGCCGTGACCCTTTAATACAGTTCCTCATGTTGTGGTGACCCCCAACCATAAAATTATTTTCGTTGCTACTTCATAACTGTAATTTTGCTACTGTTATGAATCGTAATGTAAATATCTGATATGCTATATGTGTTTTCCGATGGTCGCGACCCACAGGTTGAGAACCGCTGTCCTAGGGGATGGAATCTCATCCTTAGAGCAGGCTAGTGTCTTTCTGGTGGTTTTGATGAACTATATTTGGAGGCTGGGTGCTAAACCCAATAATCTCTCAGGAATGCCAGCTGTATCTTAGATACTAATATATTCTAATATTTGACTCTGTTTACCTTCACATGGTAAACCATAATGAATTGTTGATCTCCTATAACCATACAGAGAAGCCATCCAGATTTTTAATCTAAAACTGGTAAGACCCTAGCCCTGGCCAGTATGGCTTAATTGTAACTGGTAAGGCCCTAAAGGCAAACCAACATCTATACTGAGAACTCTTTTGGTCCAGTAAGTCCAAGGAACTTCTCTAATGCCTATCCATTTTCCCTTAGGGGCCTTGTTCTCAAATACTGTCTTCCTTGTTCTACAGCTAAGTCCCACAGGACAAGCATTGAGATTTTATCTTGAGCCTTGTCAGTGTAGTCTTGAGTTTTAAGTCAAGTTCATTGAAGCCAAAATCCTGAGGGAAGGAGCAACTAATTCTCTTATGTTCTGTGTTTTTAGAAAGACCCAACATGTTGATCTTACTCGTTTTAAATTGTCACTGACCATGGAATGGCCTAGTCTGTTCATATTAACATTTATAACCCAAATTAAAAGGATTATTTTCTGCTGGCTTTTTTCTATCTGCTGTTTTTGGTTTTCTGTAGCTGAAGTTTTCCGTTGAGGTTCTTTTTAACGCCTACATGCAAACTGAAGAGCACTCAAGCTTTGGTGGGATATCACCCACAGCTGGAGTGATGGAGGAAGGGAGGAGAGTACACACCTCAGGTGCATCCTTCTCTTAAAAAAAAAAAAAAACCCAAACACTTAAGCAAACAAATTCCATCTGAAAGCAGGCAAGACCTGTCTAGAGAAAGAAAGGAATGAACCTCTTTCCATCTAGGAAATGGATATCAATTCATATATAACCCAGATGCACAGGATGAGCAAATTTGAAAGATGTTGGCACTGTCCTGCAGTCCTACATCTCTTTTAATCAAAGAGTGAGAGGTTGTGAACCATGAACCGTGGTGAGAAGTGGTGGAACAGTGTTGCAGCAATGGCTCCTCTGTTGGTGGTTAGGCCCTGTCTTGCTCTATTAAGCAAACACAGTTAATATAGATGAAAGGTAAGCTTGATAGAAGTGAAAATTGAAACTTGGTTGAAGGTAGTAAGCCAGGCACAGCTGCAGTTGTACTTCCTCCTATGTGGCAACAGGAGCTGCACTCACTGGTGTTTTTGAAGGGATGTAGTTTTTTAAAATATCTTTTCTTCAGAGTGTTTTGGTTTTTAACATCTACACCATTGGTGAGAGAGTGTGGAGTGTGGAATATGTCAGTAATGAGCTACTTAGACTTTATGTGCCGAATGTGTGAGGTCAAATCCAACTTCAGCATTCTAATCCTATCTGTTAACTGGCCCTGTAATCGTAAACAAATCACCAAGAACATCTCTGTTCCCAGATTTTCTTATCTGAAAAACAAGGAATTTAGATAATCTCCAAATTCCCTTCCAGCCTTAAAATTCCATTGATTTATGATTCCTCACGAGGAAGTATAACTTCCAGTTTCTAAGTACAAATATTTTAGAAAGTAAGCATTTCTGCAGCATGTTTTAGATATGAAAATCCCTTACAAATGTTTATTATTATCACATCAGGCAAATATTAGGTTTGGTTAGTGTCAGTACATAGATTTGCCTTGTTCATTTCTTATGTTCTTATGTTGCAACTCTTTTAAAGATAGTACCTGGTCAGCCAACTTAGACCAGACCCTCTTTCCTATCTAGACCTACAATTCTTGGATCTTGAGTTTAGCTGGTATAGGTCCCTTTCCCCTTGCTCAGGTTGAGCTCCATTTAGTTATGTCAATGAAAGTGACTGCTCAGAAGGGTATGTTAAAGAATTACTTCTCCTTTTATCTTTCTCAACAGTATTTCACTAGTCCTGCCAGCTTCCTCTACTTTCAGTGTTGTCTCTTTATCAGTTCCAAGATAGATAAGACTCATTTTAGCAGTTCATCTGCATGGAAAGGGAAGAGGCAAAGCATGGCTTAAAATTAGAAAAGCTGTAGTTATTTTTCAACTTTCAATCTTAGTGGTTTAAAATGGATGCATTAGAAGAATTAAAACAGTACTTTCTTCTTGAAACCAAAGAGCTTATCATCTTGGCTTTTAACTGAAGCCACCAAAAAAGGTACTAGATCTGAAAACTTTTCTTCTCCCCAGTGCTGGAGAAGAGTTGCTCAAAATGATTTTTTTATAGTTGCTTGAGAAGTCATAGCTAAAATCTATTATATCTTATTTTCGGAATGGCCTAAAATACTGTCGTGTGTGTGTGTGTGTGTGTGTGTGTGTGTGTGTTTTCCCTGACTATGGTTCTGAATTCCAATGATGAGTGATCATCTTAATGGTATTTCCTTGTTTTGTATATGTACAATAAGATGTTAGCTTCATTTGGTATTTAATTGTCAGTTGTGAGTCTGCTCTCTGAGCTGCTTTGATAGATCCAAATATAATCATTGTTTATTTCTTGCATTTTCCTCCCTGTAGACGATTCAACGAAAGTGAAAGATGAATATAGTGAAAGGGATGAGAATGTTTTGAAGCCAGAGCCCATGGGAAATGCAGAAGAGCCTGAAATTCCTTACAGCTATTCCAGAGAGTATAATGAATATGAAAATATTAAGTTGGAGAGACATGTTGTCTCATATGATAGTAGCAGGCCGACCAGTGGCAAGATGAACTGTGATGTGTGTGGATTATCCTGCATTAGCTTCAATGTCTTAATGGTTCATAAGCGGAGCCATACTGGTAAATAGTCTCCTTTATCCGTTCTGAAAACTGTCCTCATGCAACCATGTGAGAAATGAATGTGGGACAACTTTTGATTACTTTCATTGATTTTTGCTATAATTCTGATGTATCTCTCCCTCTCTGCATTTCCATTTACCCAGTAATTTTTATTTCTGCTTCACAATGCATTTGGCAGACATTGCAAATGCTATGAATAACAGGAGCGTAGAGAGCAGTGTTCTAGGTTAGCCAAATATTTTTTCTTCAGTTAATAAGTAGGAATTGAATTGTGTAATATACTTCTTAAGCATCTTTCTTATGTTTTTGCATAACTTCTATGGAAAGCAGATCTCATTATATTGGGTTCAAATTTGGTAGATGAAAGGATATAGTTTTTATTACCAGTTTTAAAAAATTTATCTTCAGACAATAGTCTATGGAAATGCATACAAATATAACACCCATTGAGCCCAATAGATTCCATCTGTTATGAATACTTTTAAAAGAAGTATTTCTCTCCCTTAGTAGCTAGTCTGTGGCTCTTTTTTCAAATTGAGATTATATTTTAAAGGAATGCTGAGTAATGTAAAAATTTACATCTAGTAAGCTCTTCTAGAGCTACTCTTATTTTTGTTTTTTTGCTCTGATTCAAGACAAGGTAATACCTAAAATAGCCTTGCAAGGTGAGTGCTTTTTCTCTTCTGGAGGGAAGTTTTCATAAGGAAGTCTTATGTTCGCCTGGAAATACAGCTCTGAGCTGACCCCAATAAAAACAGACTGTCTAAAAAGTGAGTTTTTGCATAAGCAACTAATCTGTGCATAGGCTTCACCATTTGCCAGTGATCAGAAATCTCCTTTTTGTCCTTTTTAAAGGTGAACGCCCATTCCAGTGTAATCAGTGTGGGGCATCTTTTACTCAGAAAGGTAACCTCCTCCGCCACATTAAACTGCACACAGGGGAAAAACCTTTTAAGTGTCACCTCTGCAACTACGCATGCCAGAGAAGAGATGCACTCACAGGTCATCTTAGAACACATTCTGGTAAGTGAGAGCGAGGAGCATTCCATATCTAGTAAATGTTTCTCAGTGCCCATTGTGGAAACTAGAAAGAGTTAAGTATGGAGATTTTCATCTGTCACTACTGTTGAAGGGTTACAACAGCAGAGACCTTTAGGGCTAATTACACTTCCATTAAGGCATTAATTGCTCTCCGTCTGGCTCAATGGGGATGATCATCTCCTTACCATCCTTGCTCCCCTAGAGAACAACACAGACAGGAAGAGCCTGCCTTATAAAAATGCCTTTTTAACTTTCTTTTTTGCCAAAATAATTAGAGCCATCAGTATTTTCTTATGGTAAACTTTATTAAAATATTATTTTCCTTGAAAACACACACACACTTTTCATTCAAAGTTTGAACAAGCCATTGTTGTATAGTTTGTAAATTATGTAAAACTGTAGACGGTATAAATCATTAGTAGGTGGTTACTTTTGGCTATTCTGGGCTAAACTTGAAGTTTTTTTTGGCCATTCTTGGCTAAATTTCTTTTTAATTGAAATATAATTGACATAATATATCATTGTATTAGTTTTAGGTATACATGGGCTAAATTTCTTAAACTCAGCTTTCTTCTTGATCAACCTTATTATTTTTAATCTCTAAAAGAGGAGCAGCAATAAGAATTCATAAAAAACAATATTCTGTCTTGTTTTTCACTTCTTATTTTAACCAAGCAAGATGATAAATTTGTTTTCAACATTTAGAACTTCCCTCCTAGAAAAATAAAACTGACTTTATTTTTCAAATTTGGGACCTCATGTTCTTGATGTTATCTGACAAGATTTTAATTGAAGAAGAAAAAGAAAGGTTTGTTTTTATGTCAATCCACACACTGCTTTGACTAAAACTCACCCCAAATCCTCAAATGATCACAATTCAGAGACTAAGGAATAATCAAATCAGCCCCAACAAAATCCACCGTGAGACATCATAAGTAGCAAAAGAAGGGTTTTATTTACAACTTAGTGTTCAAAGAAATGAATTAAGGCTGAGTTTGGTCCAAAAAATTAGAATAGTTCTCTTCTGTTGCTTTTTTTCAACTAAGATCTAACAGTAGTAGTCGTTTTTAAGACAGATTTTAGAAGACACCAATTTATGCAGAAACTTAACATTTTTAGCCCTAGCAAACCTACATTTATTTTAATTTGGGATTCCATAAAGATCTTTTAGTGCTTTAAATCCCAAAGGCTCTGTTTTAAACAGAGCAAGAGGATTAGAAAATAAAAATCTCAGTTTCTAAAACTCTGACAAATTTATAGGGTACGTTTTATCAACAAATCAGAAAGGCCAGCCCTGCACACAGAGTTGAAGTTATTTTTTAGATATTTTAAGCAATAGAGCATTTGGAAGAGTTGGGATGATAAATGGCCTGAATTGTATGGATGAACTTTTGAGGAAACCTTTATTTCATCTTAGAAATCAAGATGAAGTCATTTTTGCAATTCATCCTTATTTCTGTTATTCAAAATTATCCTTAGTTTATTGCTCAGTTTTTATCAATTTAGCACAGACTTTATATTTATATCCACCTAGCAAGAATGAGCTAAATTTTCCAAATATGTCAACATTCTAAGGCCATCAGTTTCTAGCTGAATGGCTAACTCCCACAACATAGAGCATTTTTTACTTCCAACCAGATGGACATCACAAAATAAGTGATCCCTTCCTGTTTCTCTCTTAAACCACACTAACCTCCTTGAAGAATAAAAAGGCCCCATATTATTCTCTGAAGAACCAAGATTGGATCTGGAGCCAAACCACTATGTTCAATGATAATCATTAAATCCAAATCCTGTTATTTGTGAAAGGAGACTGTCCTTTCAAAGAATACATCATAATTCATCATAGACCATAACCAAACTTCAGTTTATTAAATTTAAAAGTAATGCAATTGCAGAAGTATCCAAATTCTCTGGCTGCCCTCAGAAGTCTCATTCCTAGTGAGCAGTTTTCATGGGACTCCAATGCACCATTTGTTCCGTAACCCTGAGGGTCTCTGAGTGCCCCCTGTGCTCTCCTTATAGTTGAGAAACCCTATAAATGTGAGTTTTGCGGAAGGAGTTACAAGCAGAGAAGTTCCCTCGAGGAGCACAAGGAGCGCTGCCGTACGTTTCTTCAGAGCAGTGACCTTGGTGAAACCGGTGAGTTCATGCAGCACTCATTCTGCACAGCATCTACTGTGCTGGGTGGTGGGATACAATAGTAAATAAAAAGACGAAAAAAAAAATCATGCACTTGTGGAGTTTATATTTTCATGGGGAAAGACAGACCAAAGTAAATATGTAATGTATACAGTATATTAGGAGATGGTAAATACTATCAAGAAAAATGGTGGGTGGGGAGAAGACAAAGAGGGTAAAGAGGATCAAATATATGGTGATGGAAGGAGACTAGGCTTAGGGTGGTGAGCACACAATAGAGTATATGTTATAGATAAAGCCTATTTTACGGTGTTAGCTGGCCAACTGAATTCTGTTGGTTTATACTGCTTCTGCTTTTTATCCTGATGGCATCTTCGGCTTTATCAAGGAGTTGGATTTCCTCTTCACATTATAAAGTTGTACACCTGAAATTTATAGAATGTTATTAACCAATAAAAAAAGAATGTTATTAACCAATGTTAACAGATTTAATAAGAAATAAAAGAAAAAATGGGGACTGAGGGAAGTTAGTGAAGGCTTCAACCAGATGACATTTAACAAACTTAAAGAGATGTGGAGAGAGTCCTGCCTTGCTGATAACTAGGGAATAGCAAGTGCAAAGGCCCTGGGGCTTGAGTTTGAAGAAGTATAAATAGTCCTGTGTAGTTGGAATAAAAGGACAGAAGGCCAGAGAGGAAATGGGAAACCAGATCTTATCAGACCTTGTAGGCCATTGTAAAAACTTCAACTTTTACTCTAAGTGAAATAGAAAATCTTTAGAGGGTTTTGAACAGAGGTGACATGATTGGGCTTCTCCTTTGAAAATAATCACTCTCCTTGCTATTAAGAATAGATTGTATTTGGAGCAAGATTGGAATTTGGAGAGTCTGGTTAGGAGGCCATTGCAATCATTCAAGAAAGAGAAAATTGTGTCTTGATTGTGGTAGGAGCAGTGAGAAGTGTTCTAATTCTATATATATTTAAAGGTAGCACCAACAGGATTTCCTAACAGATTGATGTGGGATGTGATGAAGAATGCAGTTGCCATGGACTGAAATAGCAAAGACTGAGGGTAGAACAGCCTGAAGGGTGGCTAGGACAGAGTTGATTAAAACTGCAAGGATTTTCTTTGCATAAGGCTCCAAAATCAAATACTTCTCTAGTCATATTTTATTCAGTGTTTTGAATTATATGCCCTGTGGTGATTGGTTGAAACACTAAATTCTTTCCATGTATAAATTGTGCTTTTATTTTATTTTCACTCTTCAGTCGAAATAGCCTGAAACTATTTTGTGTTGCATCTCTGCAGCTGTCCTTTGTCCTATCCCACTGACCATCATCCTGGTTCTGTAGCTTGGGTTGTCTGGCACTTTTTTTGGTCACTTGAAGTACTTGCTTATATACAAATCCTCATGAGATTTGGTGTTTGACAGTAGTAGTTGCAGTTGAATAGTTTAAACATACTAAAGCAGAAAGATTACAAAAAGATGATAGAAATAATGTGAAACTCAGGGAAAATGGAATGGAAATCATGAGTTTAACTGTACCCGTTTTGAGTGAGAGGAAACTTTTGGTATAGATAAAGCCTATTTTACGGTGTTAGGAGCTGGCCAACTGAATTCTGTTGGTTTATACTGCTTCTGCTTTTTATCCTGATGGCATCTTTGGCTTTATCAAGGAGTTGGATTTCCTCTTTATTTCTAAAAAGAAATATTTACTCTCTTTAAAAGAAACCCATCCAAAACGTGGGTTTTGATATCTTGAGCAACATTCTTAAGGTTAGTCAGGCAATACCTAGGCATCTTCACTTGTAGTTCCATATTTCATACTATAGACAAAGCTCTTTGAGAAATCCCCAAATTATGAAAATCTATTATATTCCAAATAGAGCATAATATTTAAAGCTAGAAAAATTAAAAAGAGCATCTAATCCTACGTCTTCATTTAGAGGTAAAGAAATAGAGATTTATCAAAAATTCAGTGACTGGCTTAAAAATCACTAGAACTGTCATTGTTTTCATGATTAGCTACATAAATATATATTTAATTTATGGAAGAGCCCTAGCTGGGCAGCTCAGTTGGTTAGAGTGTCATCCGGTAAGCCAAGGTTTTGGGTTCAATCCCTGGTCAGGGCACATACAAGAAACAACCAATGACTACATAAATAAGTGGAACAACAAATGAATATTTCTTTCTCCCCTACCTCTCTTGCTCTAAAAACAATAAATAAAACAGTTTTTAAACTTATGGAAGAGAGAATTGACATACCATAAAATTCATATTTTAAGTGCACAATTTAGTAGTTTTTAATATATTCACAAAATTATACAACCATCACCACTAATTCCATAACATTTTCATCATCCTCAAAAGAAACCCTGTCTCAGCCTTGGCTGGTTTGGCTCAGTGGATAGAGAGTTGGCCTGTGGACTAAAGGGTTCCGGGTTCGATTCTGGTCAAGAGCACATGTCTGGGTTGTGGGCTTAATCCCCAGTGGGGGGCGTGCAGGAGGCAGCCAATCAATGATTCTCTCTCATCATTGATGTTTCTATTTCTCTCTTCCTCTCCCTTCCTCGCTGAAATCAATAAAAATATATATATTTTTAAAAACCCTGCCCCTATTAGCAATCACTCTCCCTCTCCCCTCTCTCCAGCCACTGGAAACCACTAATCTGCCTTCTATGGACTTGTTTATTCTGAACATTTCACATAAATGCAATCATATAATATTTGACCTTTGATGTCTGGCTTCTTTCCCTGAGCACATTTTCAGGATTCATCCATGTTTAGCATGTGTCAGCATTTCATTCCTTTTTATGGCTGAACTAGAGGCCCGGTGCACAAAAGTTAGTGCACTTGGGGTGACCCTCAGCCCAGCCTGCACCCTCTCACAGTCCAGGAGCCCTCAGGGTATGTCCACCTGCTGGCTTAGGCCCTCTCCCTGGGGGATCGGGCCTAAGCTGGCAGTCAGACATCCCTCTCGCAGTCCGGGAGCCCTCGGGGGATGTTTACCTGCTGGCTCCCTGTGGGAGCAGGCCTAAGCCATTAGTTAGACATCCTTAGTACTGCCACAGAGGCAGGAGAGGCTCCTGCCACCACCGCTGTGCTGGCCAGCCATGAGCCAGCTTCTGGCTGAGCAGTGTTCCCCCTATGGAAGTGCACTAACTACCAGGGGGCAGCTCCTGCATTGAGCGTCTGCCTCCTAGTGGTCAGTGTGTGTCATAGCGACCGGTCATTCCGCTGTTAGGGTCCATTTGCATATTACCCTTTTATTATATAGGATAGTATTCCATTCTATGGATTTACCATGTTTTATTTATCCATTCATCAGTTAATGGACATTTAGTTTTTTTCTACTTTTTTTACTTTTGGAAAATATGGCTATATTTTTAGAAGGTTATATATTAACTGATTAGCAAAAGAAATATAGTAACACACATACATATGTATATATGTGTATCTTGATTCTCCTGGAAGTAGGGGAAAAATCAGTACCCTACCCTCTATGAACAGTAAGCTCAAAATTATTGAGTTTGAAATTAGGTTACCACCTTACTTCCCACCCATAATCTTTTTTAGGAATTTCAAATTAGGAATTATCAAGAGAAGTATTTTAGTTATCTTCAGTGGTAGAAGGTGATTCAGGAAATGCTGAAATACAGAAGTTAATTTGCATTTCATAGGGTGGTTTGATGGATGCGTGCAGCATACCTTAAGTCTCAGCAAAAAAAAAAAAATAAAGGGTTAACTAAGTCAGCAAGTTTTGATTTAAATAAAACAAATATGTTGTAATGAACTAGAAGCCTGGTGGTTTCAGGTTACAGAGTGTATAAAGTCACAGTTTAATAAAGTATAATAAATACTTCATGTCAGTTAATATATTATTCTCTCTTCTATTTCAAATAGTTCCCATGATTTTTCCTGAAGTCCAAAATGTAAAGAATATTTAATCCAACACAAGCCAATACTTTAATGATTGCCACTGCTTTCTATATGGTTTCCTTCTTAAAATTTGGGAATCCCAGTCTAGATATAGTGTTCCATTCTGAGCCTGATGGTTAGAGTATCACCAGTGGTATACCTTACCCCTTCATCTCTAGCTTTTAAAGTGATGATGCTCCATAGCTACTGTGGATGCAGCACTTATTCATCAAGTACTTGTTGTAAATTGAAGTGCCTAGTGTGAGAGCCAAGCCTTGGCACCAACCTGCCCCCATCAGGAAGTAGACCCTTAGGGAAGCAGAGCAGATAAAAAGGCTTTGGGCTGGAGTCTAGTCTGCAAAAGAAAGCCACATTGAGCCCTAACCAGTTTGGATTAGTGAATAGAGCATCGGCCTACAGACTGAAGGGTCCCGGGTTCGATTCCGGTCAAGGGCATGTACCTTGGTTGCAGGCACATCCCCAGTGGGAGGTGTGCAGGAGGCAGCTGACTGATATTTCTGTCTATCCCTCTCCCTTCCTCTCTGTAAAAAATCAATAAAAAATGAAATAAAAATAAATTACTGCAAAAAAAAAGTCACATTGAGCAATAGAACTTCTGACCTTACTAATCATTTTTCTCTTATTTAGGTAGCATTTGTTGTATTCTCTATGTGTCAGGCTCTGTGTCAGAGCTGTTTGTCAAGATAATCCAACAAGGGAATGGGCACTTGATCTCTTGACATAGTACAGAGGTCTAATAGAGATATGTGTGATATTGTTACTTCAGGCCACATTTCTTCACGAGATGTCACAAGTGACATGATGAAGATACTCCAATTCTGCTGTCTTAATGCAGTATATATGAAAAGAAGAATGAATAGAGAAGCCCACAGATTTCATTTTCTCATTAGTTTGATCCTTATTCCAGAGAGGGACTAACAGTTTATATAGAGATTCATTTAGCCTCATTTCACACAAATTATGCATACTTGGACCAGGACATATTTTTGTTTGACAAGTTCTAGCAATTAGAATATTTTTTTAAGTAATTGGATAATTTATTTTAGAATGTAGGAGTCAAAACCTTTTATCTTCATTTTTATTGTTTCAATTGTGCAAATAGAAGCATGAGAGTTTCTGAATAAACTTATCAAGTAGCAGACCAAAGAAAAAGTTTAAAAGGTTTTAAAAGTCTATTTTCCCAACTGATTATTTTGCTTAAAAATTGATATTATCTCCTGGCTGGCGTGGCTCAGTGTTGAGCATCCACCTATGAACTAGGAGATCACGGTTCGATTCTGGTCAGGACACATGCCCGGGTTGCGGGCCTGATCCCCAATGGGGAGTGTGTAGGAGGCAGCCAAAGATTCTCTCTTATCATTGATGTATCTCTCTCTCTGTCCTTTTATCTCTAAATCAATAAAAAAATATTTTTAAAAATTGATACTATCTTACAGGTAATATTCATTCTACTTGCTAAAAAAGGCAGTAATTTTATGTAACTTTTTTGTTAGAATCTTCCTTGGTCTTTGATAGCAATCTCTTGTTAGACAATTCTGATTGCACAATAACACCCCTTTGTTCCACTCTCCATTAGCTACTGACACCATAGAAGAGGCAGGAAGCATGCCTCTTATTGAGCTCTATTTAACACTTCAAGATCTAATGAAGGATTTTGAACAAAAACAAAAATACAACAAATTACATACTTAAATCTGCAGTCACTTTGAGAGAGAAATGGCATCATGGGAACAGTTAACAAAAACCAGACAAACTATTTCAGACTTGCACAGAAATAAAAGTAGTAATCTATTCTGTAATTAAGACTTCATATTCATTTCATTATTTATTTTTTTAGCATGTCTTTAAAATCATTTTTCTAATGAAAATTTGTGTATTTCTGCCGAAACCGGTTTGGCTCAGTGGATAGAGCGTCGGCCTGCGGACTGAAGGGTCCCAGCATGAACCAAGAGTGCAAGTAGTTCCTTGCCACAATCCCATATCCCCACACCCACCCCTTTGCAACATTAAACTGCCAAACACCACCCAGGAACGGATTTCCTATTTCATCATTTAAACCCATTATCTTGTTCCCTTACTATCTTGCCAAACTGGTTTCCCTCCACTTACATTTCTGAGACATGATGCAGCAAGATAACAAGTCTAGACTGTTTGTATAAATAGACAGTTGGGTCCTAAAGTTGAAACAGAGGACCAAAAGCCAATAGTCTCCTTTTTCTTCCTTGTTTGTGTATTATCTAAACTCTTTGTAATGCACAAAAAATGGTCTAAGTCAAAAGCATTTATTTGTGTTTTAAAGGTCACTCATTTAGTGGTATTGCACAGCAGCTGGCCAAGAATTGCAAGGCAAAGACTAGCAGTTTGGGAAAGAAAATGAGAGTGCAGCATATTCAATTGAAAGTTAAGCCTTTGCCTAACTTGCCAATTAGAAAGTAGTTAACTCAATAGAGATTAACTTAATCTTTGCAGCGGTTCTCAACCTGTGGGTCTCGACCCCTTTGGGGGTCGAACGACCCTTTCACAGGGATCACCTAAGACCATCCTGCATATCAGATATTTACATTACGATTCATAACAGTAGCAAAATTACAGTTATGAAGTAGCAATGAAAATAATTTTATGGTTGGGGGTCACCACAGCATGAGGAACTGAATTAAAGGATCGTGGCATTAGGAAGGTTGGGAACCACTGCTTTAGAGTGTATTCATACATACAATGAGAGTTGGACTCATGGAGTTGATATTTTGAGTGAGGGTATGGGTGGAAGAAGCCCTCTGGTTTAGTTCCAGAGGATTTCTTTCAATCTAACCAGAATTATGGAAATGGGAAAGTCTCCACCTATGCCTCAAATTATCTGTCTATCCATAACCTCCAGAATTTCATGTTTTAAAAACGTGAGTCATTTGGTCACTGATTTACAGGGTATGATTTATCTAGAAATAACTGTCAAGACAAGCTTGGTGAGTAACCAGGGATAAAAAGGTGATGTTATCTCAGAGCGTTGCCATTTAGTGACATGCCCTAATTACGTTATTTAGGTCAATGTATCCCCGCTTTGGTATCCTCCCAAATATAGAGGATATTGAGTATGTGTCCTCAGACAACTGCTGTGGTAATTGATAGTGACCTTGGTAAAATGTAGACAGTGTCTACTGAGAGACAAGAGGGGAAACTAGACTGGCAGCAGAATGCTTGGGGAAAGTCCTGGGACTAAAGTCCTTACCTCTGGGTAAGGACAGGGCCATTAGAGTAGTGACTGAAGAGACTAATAAGAATAGTGGTAAAATGGGGATAAAGTTAAAAATTCCCAAAGTACTGTTCTTCATTCTAATTTCACTTTAAATCTTTTATATAATAAATACAGGGTGTGGGGGGAGCCTTACCTGGATTTAATCCTCTCAAACCAGAATGAATGTTCCCAGTCAAAGCACAAGTTTTGCCTCTCTGATGCTTCTGAGAAAAAGCCTCCTTCTAACAGCCTCAGGAACTTATTTCAAATCCCAGGCCTTTGTCTTTCATCTCTCTGCTCTGGGTACTACCACATCTGGTGGTGGTTTGTGTGAAAGGAAATAATATATATATAATAGTTTCCTGTTTGGTCATTTAAACTTATTCCTGTGCTGGACAGAATTTGATACACTTCACTCAATAGCAGTGTCCTGTCACTGAAGTGCCAGTTGTTTACAATGGCTGTCAGTCAAAGTTGCAGTACCTCCCCACTAGCCCCAAAGCTGCCAGCCTCTTCCTCTGCCCTTACTGTTTTCATTACACAAATAGTGTTGTTAATAGCTTAAACCGGAGGGTGGGATTTATTTCTTTAGAACATAGAATTATATTTTTTATAAGAAACTCACAAAGTATAGTAAGTATGACCATTATTATCATCTTCTTAATCATTTCTGGAGCCAGATTTAATTTTATTTCTGATTTTTAAAAATCCTGAGTTTATAACTTATTGTGTAATGATTGGTGTAGTGTTTTTTAAAAAAATCAAAAACATGCCAATGAAAAAATATTTAATACTTTGACTTCTCTTTTTCTAATTTGGCTTCGCTCTTTTGCCCTGACCATACTTAATAGTCTTGCCCTGGAAGTCTTTCTCTGTCTCATTTACTGCATAGGTGACCAGTGTTCTCTCACTGAGAGATCATAGAATTGGTGACATTATTTCCATATATTAAAGACTCTTCACTCAACAAACTCTTCAACTTCAGAACAAGCACTGACAATTCCTAAGTCTATGTATATAGTTGCGGGAGCGGGGGGGGGGGAGTGGGGTGGATCTATTCTGCAATTATCACTTGCCTTTTACTCTCATCATGTAACTAAAACCAATTTCTTTTTCCTTAAAGACATTAGAAATGTATGGATCCTTCATTTTAATTAGGACCTCCTGAAATGCTCACAATGAAACAGAGAGAACTGTTTGTAGTATCACAATATATTTGCTTAGGGCAGGAGTGAGCAAACTGTGACCCTCAGACCAAATGTAGCCTGCAGCCTGATTGTGTACAGAGGTTTTTACATTTTTAAAGGGTGGTGGGTTGAGTTTAAAAAACCAAAGAGACTATGGAACACAGACAATATGTGTCCCATTAAAGTTTAAAATATTTACTATCTGGCCCTTTACAAAAAAAGTTTGCTGGTCTCTAGCTTGTGTTTAGCATCATGTGTTAAAGTTTGAAGCCCTATATTTAGAGCAGCTTGTATCTCTGAATTTTAAGCATGAACTCTTATATGGGACTGCTTGCTGTACAAGAGTAAATTTTACTATATTTATTCCCACTAACTGTTTAGTTGATTAGATATTCTTCTAGTGGTTCTCAATTCTGGCTGCATTTTAAAATAATTTGGACACCTTTACAAATCTGTTGCCTAGGCCCCTACACCAGAGATCCTGATTTAATTGATCAGAAAGTGGGGCCTGCACATAGGTGTGTCTTACATGCTCATAACCGGTGGCATCTGGGAACCACAGGCCTACACCACTGGAAGGTCTGTTCGTGGATTAACAATTAGATCACTTTCTTAGGCAATTTTTATTCACATTTTTTCATTAGAAATGTAATAAAGATGCATTATACAAATTGCTCTTTAATTTCAAGACAGACGTGTTGCTCAGGGAAATTTTAACTGAGACCATTTTTAAATGTGAAGAGCATATGAAACAGATAATGCAGAGCCCAGAGAAATAGAATTTTAAAAGATAGGAACTGAAAGAAGCATGCTGGGGGGAAAAAAAGAAAGAAAGAAAAAAACCACTCACAATTTCAATACACAAATCACTGAGTAGATTTCTTGCTGTCTGGGTAAGAGTATCTATTTTCAAAAGTGCTATTAACATAAACAGAGCAGTAAATCTGGGGCACCATACTTTTTTTTTCCAAAGTTGTTAAGAAGAATTATATCAGTCTGCAGGTGTCACACGCAGTTACTCAGAATCAGAAAGAAGGCTGATCGGAGGTTAGAAGATCTCTCTATCTTTTTGCAACCAACCACGTCCATTCTGTTTATTTAATACTTCCTCTTGCTAATGAAGGTACTGTTTGGGGATGGGTTGGGCTTTTCCATCTCAGCATAAGGACTGCAAGATTTGAATGTGCCCTGTTGCTGTCTTCACTGACCACAGCAGGTCCCCCAGGCAAGAATCTGAGCAATAATAACCGGTAACAAAAGATTATGTACCAGATATCTGACATTTTTTCTTCCAGTTTATTTGTTCTTCCTCCCCATTTACCAATTTTCCCCCCTCTTCTTTTTACATTTTCCCAAACCAGCAAGTGCGGAGGCAAGACACATCAAAGCAGAGATGGGAAGTGAAAGAGCTCTGGTTCTGGACAGATTAGCAAGCAATGTGGCAAAACGAAAAAGCTCAATGCCTCAGAAATTCATTGGTAAGAATAAAACCCTTTTTCCTGCTGTTGTTAGCAGATAGTTTGAATGAGATAACATAGGATGCTTATTACACAGGCCCTTCCTAACTTAATTTCTGTTAAAATAAGCTTATTGGTTTTCCATTGCTCACGTTTATTTTTTGTGATTCATTTTGAGAACTAGAGCAAATAGAATAAAATATTTTAACTAAAGAATCTTCACAACTGAAGATGGGAGTATTTGGTATCCAATTTCCTAAATGGAGTTGGTGTTTAAAATGCTATTCCTTCCTCTTTATTCTGAGTGACATATGTTGCATGAGTTTGTGCAAGTAAGATGTTCAAGATAACATTTTTGTAATCTTTTGTAATTATATTTTACAAGTTGGTTCCGTTATCATGCTCAAAACTTTTTTCATGCTCTAAAACGTATTGCCATATTTTCTTGAATTTGATTCATAATTGGCTTTAAGAGAAAGTGTTTGGGAAAACATAGATTTAAATAATAAGATTTGATTTAGTCATTTATCTTACTGGAGTTAATTTTTATGCCATTGGTTTTCACATTGTCAAAAAATACAACATAAGGAGATGACTAAGAAATAATTATGTCCATTAAAGTATTAGGACTGCTGAAGGGCAGAGATATTTTGCTGAACAGTCCCAGATGCTTACATAAACATGACCATGATATTTAAAATAGATTTGTATTTGTGAAGTAGGCAGCTGAATTAAATGTATCAGTTTTGCTATAAATTGAAAGTGTTATTGAACAAAAATAGTTATCACATGAAAATAGACCTCGCTCGACACCAATGATATTTTAGAAATCTGTCAGTCTGTTTTTCCAAAGCTGCTGTTGCTGTTGATGTCTTATTCCAGACCTTTTGTGTTTATTCTTTTCAATAGCTTTTACAGATATTAAGTGCCTATCTGCTTTTTAAATCTTGTTAATTTATTCTGGTCTAGATAATTTCTTACAGGCTGACATTTTATGTGAATTATAGAGATATAAGGAAAGAACCCATATATTTCAAAATTACCTAACTTGATATTTATGCTTACTTATTTTGATTAGCTGAAAAGTGTTTGTACCCTTTCAGTCACTTTAAGAATAAATTTTGTCAGACTATAGTTGTTGCATTTTAGTTCAGAGAGACCCCCTTCCTCTTTACCATCTTTCCTCTCCTTGGTGAAAGATGTCAGGGGGTATGTAGTGACTTCCATATGGAGTTAGGCACAGTGGACCAATTGTGATGCCAAGATATTATTTTAAGATGTTGCTCATATCTCTTTTGAGCTTTGCTTATATGAAGAAGTTGTGACTGGAGTACAGAAGAAAGCTTTGGTTGTTATTCTATGCCATGAGCATAATTTAATTCGGGGAAGTTTTAACTCTAGCTGATGTGGGGAGGTTCATGGGGGGAAATGGGCAAGAAAAAAATGTAAAGTGCCTTAATTTAAATTCAGTTATGGTCAATGCATTTTTGTCTAAGAGAACTAAAATATGAGAGAAAGTACCTAGTTCTTATAGCTACCCCACACCTATTGTTGAGCCACAGCCCTACCTAATATAATAAAAGTTGCTTTGGTATTTTCATGGATTTAAAAACACATATTTTACCCTGGTCAGTTTTGCTCAGTGGATAGAGTGTCAGCCCTTGGACTGAAGAGTCACAGGTTCAGTTCCAGTCAAGGGCATGTACCTCGGTTGCAGTTTCAATCCCTGGCCCTGGTCGGGGCATATGTGGGAGACAACCAATCGATGTGTCTCTCTCACATCAATGTTTCTCTGTCCCCCTCATTTCCACTCTCTCTTGAAATCAATGGAAAAATACCTTTGGGTGAGGATTAACATAAACAAACCAACAAAAACCCACATGCTTCATATGTCCAGGTCCATGCCATTTTACTCGTTGCATCAGGGACTGATGTTCCATTTGTTTGTTACCATTGTGACTAGAGGATTTTCATGCCTCCATTTCCAGACTCATGAGAGATGCTGATCTTGTAGGTTGATTTCTTTCATCTTCTGAACCCATCACATTCTCTCTTTGTGGAATCAGGAAACCCAGTAGAGTTAGCTCTTAATTTGCAGTAAGGTGTAGTAACTGCAGAGCTTCAGGGCACCCAAATAATTGGGGGAAGTTTTTTTGGTAAATTGTGGTATAGTGCAGTAGGAAGAACCCTGGATTAGAAGCCAAAAGACCCAGGTTCTGATTCTAGCTCAGTCATTTCTTAACTGTTTGTGTGTTTAGACAAATCATGTAACCTTTCTGGGCCTCTATTTACTCATCTGTGAAATGAGGAGACCGAATAGGTGATGAAGTGATCAGAAAGGTCCCTCCCAGCTCTATCATTCTACAAGTCTGTGAGATGAGTTAGAAAAGGTAGCAATTATGAATACCCTTTGTGTTTATCAAGCCCTTATGAATGACTTTAGATAACTCTTTTCTCAAGGTTGTATAGGTAATGTGTTTATGTTAGTAACCATATCATATATTTTAGGGGTATTTTTAATAAGATGAATCTGAGATTCTATAAAACAGCTGTGTTAGCTCAACAGTCATATATCTGACTTAGAAATCACTGCTTGTTCATTCACTTTTTTGTCCATTCATTCATCATGAGATGGTTATAAAGCTCCTGCCACACACGTGATATTCCTGTGTCTAAACATTGTTCTAATCTTCTAGCATTAGCTTATATCCTGAACCTTTTAGAGATATTTTTATAAGCTTTTTAGTCATTTAACTGAATCAATCTTTTTGATAGAAAATATCAAGGGGGGCAGGAAAAGGAACATTATGACAATGTGATATGAAGTGATGTAAAATATATGGGGCTAATGTTTCCCTCCTCCCCTCTTCTCTCCTCTCTTCTCTCTCCTATATTTCCTCTCCGTTTTCTGAAAAGATTAGCTGCCAGGGAAATGGCAGTGGGTAAAGTGTGAAGGAAGAATGAGTCACTCCCTTTAATCCTTGCTGACAGTTGCACAGCACTCAGACATATCTTGGCTTCCCTGCCCTCTTGAACTATGAGGGTGAGGGTGAAATTATATAATCAGGTCAGCCTGATACTTTTCCAGCAGGTTAGAGTTAATTACCAGTAGGTAACATTTCTCATCCATTAGAATCGAACTGAGGAAGAGGGATCTATTGGATTAAGTTTAAATGCATTTAGAAACACAAAAACTATGACTCTATTGAAGAGTAAGAGTGCAATTACATCAATAGGAGAAAAATAAAATCATTTTCCCCTAATTCTCCAATAAATTTGTATCACTTTCTCTAAAATGGGAAATAAATTGACACACATTCATTAGAAATCAGCATCTTCCATCATCAAAATAATTATTCTTAGTTGTTCTTTTCAAAGGACAAGAAGACTTTACTTTTAGTGCCCAACCCTTTTAGGGGTTGTCCTTTCTCTGAATCTTTTTCTCCTATTATAAACTTGTTGGACTATACTTCTAACTAGGCCATCTTCAAATACTTGGCTCAAAATAGAGGCCAGATTTCTTTCCTGAGGGGAGGAGGGAAATGATGACATTTCTGCATATTGCTTTTTCTGATTTTCATTCTTTTTCCAAAAACAGATGTGGTATTCAGACCATAGCATCTCCTTATTTTATTTTATACATTACTTTATTAAAGGAAGTTTTCATGTCTAAATGAACATGAAAAAATATCTCACTCACCTGCGGTAAACATATGTGAGGTTTTGACACTTCAACAAACACCATCAATTCTCCCTGTGAAGTAACTGAAGAGAAATGGTCCGCTTTGGTTAACAGAGTGACAGCAGCAGTTTTAATACCTGTTTCTAAAAGCACAAAGTAACTTCTTCCACCCTGTCCCAAAAGGCTGGAATCCATGCTCCTATGTGTATTAAGTCATAGCATTTTAGATCTTGAAGGGACATTAGGAACCACCCAGTGAAGTTCTTTTACCAAGGAGGGAAAGGGGGTCAGAGAGATAGGTGACAGAGCAGGGCCAGACCTAGAGCTGAAAAGTACTGCAGTCTAAGGGGCACCCAGAGCCGTGTGTGTCATGTGTGGGACACGGGGGCTGTGGACAGGGACGAGTTTAGACATTGAAGCTCGTGGAAGAAAAGCTCTGAAAAAGGGCAGTCGTTCTCCTTCAAGGGTGTGTTTTCATTTTTTATCACTAAATTTATTGGGGTGACATTGGTTAATACATTATATGCGTTCCCAGTTTATAGTACTGTGATACATCATTTCATATTTCATTGTGTGCTCACCACCCAAAGTCTCCTCTCCTTCCATCACCGTATATGTGGCCCTTTTACCCTCTTCATCCTCCCCCCATGGTGTGTTTTCTTGAGAAAAGAAGTTATCTCCCGCTGGTGACTCCATCAGGACAGACAACATCCAAGTAGCACTTCACAGAGGACAAGACTTCTGCAGCATTAAAAAAAAAATTGTGGTCTACAGCTCAGTTTTCCTCACTGCCACCCCCACAGCTCTCTGTTCTCTCTCCTTCCTGCTTCTTATTCTGTGGCTCCCCTCTGCTTTCCTCCTCCTGGAAGAAGTGTTAGTCACTTTAGTCTTATTTAGATTGAGATTAGAGCCATAACCATCATCAGATATTCCATTTACCCTACTTAACCTGCCTTTCTTCTTTTTGGACATATGCTTGCAGTAAGTGATAATACACATGGAAAATTGTATGAAGGTAGCAGCAATACATTCAAGTGACTTGAAGAAACTTAAAAACAAAGCAAATCTGAATATTTCACATTACCCATCATGATGATGGTAATATTGGAATTGTGTTATTTTTTTAAAATATATTTTATTGATTTTTTACAGAGAGGAAGGGAGAGAGAGAGAGAGAATTAGAAACATCGATGAGAGAGGAACATCGATCAGCTGTCTCCTGCACATCTCCTACTGGGGATGTGCCCGCAACCCAGGTACATGCCCTTGACCGGAATCGAACCTGGGACCTTTCAGTCCGCAGGCCGACGCTCTATCCACTGAGCCAAACCGGTTTCGG